ATAGTAATATTGGTTAAATTAAGGGTTGGCATATAATAAATTTTCTAAAAAATGAGGTGGGGGTTGAACCAACTTTTTAGATTAAAATTCCTCCTTAAAAAAAATATTACCAAAAGAAGCAAAAAAAGAATAAAAAATAACTTATACTACTATTTTAATAATTAATTTCCCCTTTCCACATAAAATCAAAATCTAAACAGTTCTTAAAATATTTAGTCAAATCCTCTCCTTGAAGTATATTTATAATTCTACTAACTGCTGAACTTAATTCCTCTTCTGTCCTAGGTCTCTGCTTCCGAACATACTGTTTAATCACATTGAAAATCTCTTCAACAGGATTTAAATAAGGGTTGGAAGCCACAATATACCTAGGTTCAATGTTCTTACTGACTAATAATTCTTTAATCCTTTTAGCATGGTGAAAACGAATATTATCCAACAAAAGATAATACTTCTCCTCATCAGAAAGTTTAACCCTAGAAAGAAAATTAGCAAAAACCTCGGTGTTCACTGTATCTTTAACCAAATTCCACTGAATTATCCCTCCTTTTTCGACATTTCGAATAATCAAAAGCAAAGAATAATTAACCCCATAACTAGGTTTGAAATCAGCAATCTTCTGACCTTTTAAACCTCAACCCCTTCGTAAAGCAAGATTTAAAGGAAAACCACTCTCATCAGTAGATAGAATTTGTTTAGAGGGTAATTTATTAATTCTTTCCATAAACTCAATAACTTCTGGCAAGTTTTGTTTTTGTTGAGGATGACGATAGGGAACTGTTTGATAAGAATACTTAATTTTCTTTAATACCAGAGAAATAGTAGCAACACAAAATCTTTTATTTGTTTTACTAAAAACATAATCAGACATCTCTTTCAGTGTTTTAACTTTCTTATTCTGAATAGAGAAGAGCAAATGAAAAAGGCATTTTCTATCGAATTTTCTTTTGGTTCCTACTTTTTGAAGAGGTTTGACAAGTGGTTTTCTCCAATACCTTACCATTCTAACACTTCTTTTTAATCCTTTGGCAATTTCCTTATAAGAAACTCCTGCTTTTTTTAATCCTTCCACGAAATCAACCAAGTCTTGGTGTTTAAACTTGATTGGTCTCCTAGTAAGGTCGTCATCTACTTTTTTAGTCCCTTTACTTAACTCTTCTTCCCACCAATCAATTCCTTCTTCTTCCTCAAACTCTTCGTTTTGTTGAAAATTTTGATAAAGTTTGTAATTACCACTTTTATCCCAAGCAAGTTTCAATTTACCTACTAAATTGGGAACATAACTTATCCGATAGTTATTTAAAAATCAGTCTTCTTTTTCTGTTTGAATATCTATAAATGTGTATTTTCAAAATTGTTTGCTTTTGCTTTTTTGTCCTTCAATAATTTTGACAAAATACTCCATATATTATATTTTATTAAATAAAATATAAAAAAGTATTTTTTTGGATTATTCAACCTTGTTAAAAGATTTCACAGTAGTTTTTTTATATTCGTCCATACATTGTTTAGCAAGTTCGTTGTATAGATGCCCTTGAAGAAGATAGTTTATTCTTTTTTTCTTTTCAGGTGTCATAATGCCTACTTCTAGACTTTTTACAAAGTTAAATAAAGCAACTTTTTTTTCATAAGGACTTAAATCACTTTCAAGAATTTTTTCTATACTTTCAGCAATTTGGTCTTTAATAGTTTTTTCTACCATAACTTTTATTATAGTAATTTTAGCATATAGTTCCACCTAATTAGTTTAAAATAATAATATTATGTCAGAACCAATTTGTCCTAATTGTGGTAAAGATGCTTCTAACTCTCCCCCAATGGTTCCCAGAGGTTGTGAAAGATGATGTTTAAAGTGTATTCAAGAAAGACCTGACCAGCAAGGAGATAAATGTAGTAAGTGTAAAGGAGATTTACATCTGAAAAACAACAACGAAATCTCTTGATGCTATCATTTACCAGATAAGAAAAAGTGAAAAATTTGTGAAAATTGCTGACAACAAGAAGAAAAGAATTATCGTAATCATAATTGATGAGGTCATGGTCTTATCTTCATGGAAAAACCAACTAATGGTAGCACGGCTGGAAATCGGATTATTTATAGTTGGAATACTCAAAAGTGGGAAGAGAAGGATAGTGTAGAAAAAAATAATAATCCTCCCTCCGAGGTAATTGAAGAAGAAAAAAAGAAAATCCGACAGTATCTAAAAGAAAACAGCATTCAAAAAGTCAAATATTCAGTTGACTTACAAGTAGAATATACTAACAAAAAGACTAAAACTATTCATATGGGTAGCAACGAAGATAGACCTGAATTTTGTTGGATAAGAAGTTATTTTGCTTATCTAGAAGAAGAGAAAGGTGTGAGAAGAGAAGGACTTTTTTTTGGTCAAGAAATTGATAGTTCAAACAGTAAAGATAACAACCAAGAGAGAGAGAGAGAGAGAGAGAGAGAGAGAGAGAGAGAGAGAGAGAGAGAGAGAGAGAGAGAGAGAGAGAGAGAG